CAAGGTACATGTAAAGTCTTTCTCGCAAAAACTTTGAGAAAATCCCTCACAAACTCTTTATTCACATATACGAAATCCTTTCCAAGTTTAGTCACTCACCGGATTCTACAATCTCGTTCTAAGGCTGGATAATAGTAGGAAAGACACTAATGATGGTTCGAAACCGGTTCGTGAGGAAAAAAGAATTTTTACTACAAAAGGTTAGTACTCAAACTCCTTGAGTTTTAATGCTTATGAACATGCTAGCTAATTTACTATAATTGATGTACTTAGAGTGCCTAAGATCCAAATTGCTTCCACATGTATTATAACAACACCATCATCAATTTTCTCTGATCGTCAGTCATATGGTTTAAGCATCCTGAATCAACGATCCAGTCATTCTCATAATCAATATGGTCTCTCGTTGTCCCCATTAGTGCTAGCTCGTCTTCTTCTATGGCATATAGTACCTCTGCATCAAATTCCTCCTCCATCCCATGTTGGAGGATGCCACATTGCTTTCCACAAATTTTGTTTTTGACCAACAATCTCTGAACATGTGGCCCTTCTTCCCGCAATTCTTCCCGCAATTGTAACAAATACCTTCAAATCCCTTTCCTTGAGAACTCTTGTTGTCATTCTTCTGAACTCTCTCAGGTTGTGCAGTTCCTTAATGACTTCTTCTTTTGTCACCATTTTTGTATCCACATTTGGTAGACAACTTATTATTACTTCGACTTTCACATGTGTAGAGTGTTTGTTCTTCACCCTTCAATGTGATCGTCTCCCATTTGTTTAGCCCTGTCTTCTTGGCTGCCTAACAAATCTTCAAACTCTACTGATGGTTGAGTGGGTCATCCTTGTACAACAATAATGAAGCTTCTATATTCTAGTCGCAATCTGAGGATAATGATCCTCTTCATTCGATCTTCTCCAATTGCAGACTTTAGGTCTAGTTTAGCAATCTCTCGGTAGATTGACTTGACTTTGTGGAAATACTGAGCAATCGCCATGTCACGTTGTGAAATTGATAATAGTTCGTTCTCATCCCAAATATGCTCTAACATGTCTCTTCGATTGTGGTTTTCAAGGCAAACATTGCTTTGCCTGGTTTGATTCTCCATTTGCGCAAGGCGCCGTTAGGATCCTCTTGTGGCGGCGTAGTTTCACTCCCGTCAACGATCTCAAATAAATCATGCATGTTGCCCACGTGTTGTAGTTGTTGTTGAGTTTCTTGATTCCTCCAACAATTTGGAAATCGCCCATCGTGTTGGCAATACCTTAGTAATACCAAACAAGCTCTTTGGACACAAGACTTAAGAGTCACAGACTGCTCACGACACAAAATAAACTGACTCGCTAATAATCTCAAGAAATCGTTTATGAGGTGGAAGATCAGACAGAGCTGCAACCACAGAACATACTAAGAATTTCAGGAGATCAGACAACCTACACTAACCTCATTCTGATACTAGATTATTGAACACAATTCTCTGTGAGAAACACTCCAATCTTTATTAACACAAAACGATAAGAAATTACAAGACAATTTGTAAAATACTACTGTTTCATATTTCTTAGGATGAAAACTTAGGTAGGGTGAAGGGGTATTCATAATAGAGATCAAACTATTTATTCCAAAAATTTCTCTTTTTTTAAGTAAAATATCTCAATCTTGTTCCTAAAATGATTAGATATATTTATTACAAAATTAACTGAATATGTATTATATGCATAGTTACATTTAATGAAGGCCACTTATATAACCTCAACACTTGAATTACAAGAAATAACGAGAGTAGAGAAATTGGGATGAAAATTTGGGTTGATGAGTTAGTCATATTGGTGTCAGTCAATGGAGCATAGATGGTGTTTTAGGATGCATCCCAAAATAATACTTAGATTATATCCCTAGTGATGGAAGGAGTATGTGGTGCAGGAGGAGGATAGTCTGACGTCCTTTGACTCGGCCCAGGCGGAGGAATGGGTACACCTTTTAAAATGACAGATGAAGCATGCGGTGGGTAGTCATTATGCCTTCTACTTGACCCAAACAAAGGAATGGGTACGCCTTTCGGAAACATTCCAAAATTCATCTTAAATTGTTTATTTAAAATGACTGATGAAGCATGTGGTGGAGGAAGTGGGTAGTTATTATGCCTTTTACTCGGCCCAGACGGAGAAATGGGTACGCCTTTCGGTAACATTCTAAGGACGAGGGGTGGAGAAGGGGTCAAGTGAAATAATGTTCTTTGGCTTGATCTAGATGAAGAAATGGATATTCCTTTTGGATGCTTTACAATTTGGTCCGTGAATTCCTCTTCTCGAATGGTGTCGTCTACATCGACTTCAACCACTTTTTTAGCATCGGTTTCGTAGACTATAAAGTGCAATCCAAAGAAAATGAGAGTACAAACTCTAAAAAACACATTAGATTTATTTGACATCATATTTTCTATACGTTCTCTAAACTTCTCTTTCTTCCTTTTTATATAGAATTTGCTTCTCAATTAAAATTAAGGTCATGTTTGCTATAAACCCTAAAATTAACATTTCTATTGTAAAAAAAAAAAAAAAACAATAAACCGTTTGAGATTTGTTTGGTAATAAGTTTTAAGGTCCACAATTGACATTTTTGTTACTAGTTTTTAAATTGTGTTTTCCATGGTTTTTTGATAGCCAGTTATGTTTGTTTGTCCAAGAACCAAGTGCATCATGCTTGAACCAAGTATATTCATTTCTGATTTCATTTTGTTCGAGAAATTGTTAATGAAGGGACAATCGTTTATTTAAAATTGGAACTCCTAATGATCATATGAATATGTTGACAGAGGTGGTTGGCAGCATTACGTAGATTTCTGTTTCTACTCCAACAATTGGTATCGTATCATTTTGGTTATGGAATTAGGGTAAAACAAACACAACCTTTGAATTCAGGGTTTATGGCTGTGAGAGGTATTCGAGATGGAACTTTATGGGCTAAGGCTTTTCTCCAAATTTATTGAAGATATATCGTTTAAGTTCATGAAAACATCACGAATGCTTGGAGATCGATTTGCTCTTGCATGGGTTGTGCGTTCAAATCGTTCATTTGATGCACGAAAATTTAGCAAAGCATAAAAATTCACAGAAGAAATTAATGGCGGTTAGGTACTTTTCATATCGAGCACCTTGTATAATTGGACACCTCGTGAGTGTGCAGGTCAATTCCACAACATGCCCTTGAATGCTAAGGATGTTCATTTCAAAAGATCTAGAAAACGGTTTATGCTAGAGTCTTGGAACTTCTTGAGATCCTCTTCTGGCATCTCAATCTCATACATGTTAGTACCTCATTTTAAGTAGCATCTCAAAGAAGTATGGTTTATAAACAAAGATAATAGATTTAAAGTTGAATTGATCGTTGAGGAGTAGATTCAAGCTAGTACCAAGAATAATAAGTAACTGCAACCTAGACCAGCTAAGTAATTGGTTCTACTATTGACTCGGTTTGATGAATTGTAGTATGTATGATGACGCGTGCAATTTAATAAGTTATGCCATGTTATGCGACGTTATGCTATGATAAGCTATTCTATTTTGTGATCATGTAGTGTTGTATAAGGGTTATATGGAATCGAAAACCTATGATGTATAAACCTCCATAGACCGAAAGCTGTGTTACATACTATTGAATGTACAGGAAATGTGGAAGCGTAATTCACCGATTTTTTATGTTATAGATAAATGGAGGTTTGTCTTAAAGCGTAATTCACCGATTTATTATGCAATGATAAGCTATGTTGCATACTGTGATGTTCAAGCTCACATACATGGGTCATGCGTAGAGAAGCATAACATATCCAATCTTGCCCGGACCAAAAAACTGTCTAAGGCCATGCTGTGATATGTTAAAAGGATAGGTCCCCCCATGGCACGACACGTGCAGGGCAACAACACACATGTTGTCCATGCATCAAACCATTCATTCAATCAAGCTAGTAGTGAAACCACTTAGTTGGTTGTCCAATGTCGAGTTACAAATTATCCTCGGAACTAGGTTAGATCTGCTTCTCTAAGTCCAATTCAACCTAGGTGAGTTTTCGACATTGAGGTAATACATAATATATGATCCAACTCTTTTAACCATATTAACTAAATCCATTTTTGGCTAAAAAATAACTTAATTATCAAATAGTAGACATACTCACCTCAAATACTTTTTAATATAGAGTCTCAATAAAGATTAGGACTGGGAGATTCTTCTCTAGATTTATTTATTTATTTATTTTTATTTATGTGTCTTCTTATCTCATTTTTAGCTAATTTTTACAAACTTTAATAATTCGAGGTCTAATCTCGTGCTAATCTATTTGCAAAAATTTATATAGATAATTTTTATATTTAATTTTATGACCGAAATTGATAGAATAGAACCAAATTGATGGAATTAATTTTTTTCTTATTGATATAGGAGATGGTCTCTTCAATTGTCTCTTCAGACGGTGATTCTTTCTTTCCCATGTGGACCTCCGTAATGCTGAAAGGGTGAATGTGAAGATCTGTAGATCGTCTGATTAGTTGATTTTATGTGGAGACCGATGATTGTTACACATATATTTCCTAGAAGCCATATGTTCAATACTGTTTTAATTATATTCGAAGAAATTTAGTACAAACGATTTGATTTCCTGCTTTAGCAGAGATTTCAACACAAATAAAATCATGCTCTTCATTTTTTAATAAAGTGGAAATGCATATTTTCATCTATTTACGTTGTAAATTTAATTAAATTATTCTTTAGGTTCTTCACAATGTAATAAAGGAAGATATATGAAATAGGAAATTCAAACATGGCAAATTATAATTTTAAAATTGAAAATGTATTATATGCAGAGTTACATTTAATGAAGGCCACACATATAACTTCTAAATTGGGACGAAAATTTGGGTTGCGAGTTAGTCATGTTGTGGTCAGTCTAACCTAGCATAGATGGTGTTATAAGGGTTTTAGGATGCATCCCAAAATAAATCTTAGATTATATCCGTAGTGTAATGGAAGGAGTATTTGGTGCAGGAGGAGGATAGTCAGATGTTCTTCGGCTCGGCCCATGCGGAGGAATGGGTACACCTTTCGGTAACATTCCAAAGTTGATTTTAGGCCAAAGAACATGCGGTGGAGGAGGTGGATAGTCTGACGTTCTTTGACTCGGCCCAGACGGAGGAATGGGTACATCTTTTGGTAACATTCCAAAGTTGATTTTTGGCCAAAGAACGTGCGGTGGAGGAGGTGGATAGTCTGACGTCCTATGACTCGGCCCAGACGGAGGAATGGGTACACCTTTCGGTAACATTCCAAAATTGATCTTAGATTGTTTGTTTAAAATGACAGATGATGCATGCGGTGGAGGATGTGGATAGTCTGACGTCCTTTGACTCAGCCCAGGCGGAGGAATGGGAACACCTCTCGGTAACATTCCAAGATATATCTTAGATTGTTTGTTTAAAATGACAGATGATGCACGCGGTGGAGGAGGTGGATANTCTGACGTTCTTTGACTCGGCCCAGACGGAGGAATTGGTACACCTTTCGGTAACATTCCAAAATTGATCTTAGATTGTTTGTTTAAAATGACAGATGATGCATGCGGTGGAGGAGGTGGATAGTCTGACGTCCTTTGACTCGGCCCAGACGGAGGAATGGGTACACCTCTCGGTAACATTCCAAGATTGATCTTAGAATGTTTGTTTAAAATGATAGATGATGCACGCGGTGGAGGAGGTGGATAGTCTGACGTCCTTTGACTCGGCCTAGACGGAGGAATGGGTACGCCTTTCGGTAACATTCCAAAGACGAGGGATGGAGAAGGCGTCCTGTGAAATAATGTTCTTTGGCTTGATCTAGATGAAGAAATGGATATTCCTTTTGGATTCTGTACAATTAGGTCGGTCAATTCCGCTTCTCGAATGTTGTCGTCTACATCGACTTCAACCACATTTTTAGCATCCGTTTCGTAGACTATAATGTGCAATCCAAAGAATATGAGAGTACACACCCTCAAAAACAAATTAGATTTATTTGACATCATATGTTCTATATGTTCTCTAAACTTCCATTTTTTCTTTTTATATAGAATTTGCTTCTCAATTAAAATTAAAATTAAGGTCCTGCTTTGCTATAAACCCTAAAATTAACATTTTATTGTTAGGAAAAAAACAATAAACCCAATTGTTTGAAATTTGTTTGGTAATAAGTTCTTAAGTTCATCATTGGCATTTTTCTTACCGGCTTCTAAATTGTGTTTTCCAAGTTTTCAAAAGTAATGTGTTGATTCAATGTTTATGGTTTTTTTTCATAACAATGGTGTTAATTATTAAATTGATTGTCGTGTTGTTAATTTTCCACTTCATAGTATATTTATTTAAAGTATTACATTTTTATGTTTTAAATTTTATTTGAATGGACTGTAGCAAGAGAGATATTTTGAAGACCGCACGATAATGGCTTGTTCATCAATTTGATCTTTTATATTTGATGACATGTCAATTGTTTCCAAGAGACTAGTGGAGATTAATAAGCGTCGATCTACTATCGGTTATCTGTTCACTATGGCTAGTGGACTTGTTTATTGGCTTTCAATTACACACTACTGTTGTTTTATTGTTTACTACTCAAGCATATATGATAGTCACTGAAGCCTTTAACAAAATATTTGGATGCATTGTTTGGTTAATGACTTGGTATTTCTCCAGAACACATAAAGATGTTTTGTGATAGCTAGAGTGATGTTTGTTTGTCGAAGAACAAAGTTCATCATGCTTGAACCAAGCATGTTCGTGTCTTATTTCATTTTTTTTAGAGAACTTGTTATTGAAGGGGACAGTCGTTTATTTAAAATTGGAATTGCTAATGATCATATGAATATGTTGACAGTGGTGGTTGGAAAAGTTACAGCATTACATAGAGTTGATCAACATTGGACGGAAGAAACAGTCGGTTTGATTGGTGACAGCAAAAGCAGGTTATCTGCTTGGGGATCTTCTTTAAAGGTGGAGATTGTTGAGAATTGTCATGAAAACTTGGTTCATGAATACACTTGTAGACACTTTAGTTATTGTGATTGACTACTTCGTGGATGTATGAGAATTTCTTCTTTTTGAACTACGTAAATCTTTGGTTCTATTTGTTCAATTTATGTTCGTAGGTGTGTGAGTGTGATCGATCTTGTTTGTGTTTTTACTACAACAGCTGGTATCATAGTACTTTGGTTATGACATTTGGGTACAACAAACACAACCTTTGAATTCAGGGTTTATGGCTATGAGAGGCATTCAATATGGAACTTTAAGGGCTAAGGCTTTCCTCCAAAATTATTGTATTCAAGATATACTCTTTAAAATCCATGAAAACATCACCAATGCTTGGAGATCGATTTGGTCTTGCATGGGTTCTGAGCTCAAATCGTTCATTTGATGCAAGAAAACTTAGCATAGCAGAAAACTTCAGAGAAGAAATTATTGGTGATTAGTTACTTTTCATACCGTGCACCTTGTACAATTGGACACCTTTTGAGTGTGCAGGTTAATTCCACAATATGCCCTTGAATGCTAAGGCTGTTCATTTCAAAGGATCCAGAAAACGGTTTATGCTAGAGTCTTGGAACTTCTTTAGATCCTCTTCCAGCATCTCAATCTCATACATGTTGTACCTCATTTTAGGTAGCATCTCAAAGAAGTATGGCTTATAAACAAAGATGATAGATTTAAAGTTGAATTGATCGTTGAGGAGCAGATTCAAGCTAGTACCAAGAATAATTAGTAACTCCAACCTAGACCAACTAAGTAATTGGTTTTACTATTGACTCGGTTTGATGAATTGTAGTATGTATGATGACGCGTGCCATTTAATAAGTTAGATTATGCTACGAGGAACTCATGCATATTAGCGTGTCATGTGCATCGGGATACTTACATTACAACTTATGATTTTTGATATTTATGCGCGTCCTGATGTTATACAGACCCTTTCACTCTGTGGTATTCAACAAGAACTCGTTAGAGAGTGCTAGCCCGACGAGCCAGATCCAGGGGGTGTGTGAGCCCACCTAGTGGGTCCATGCTCACATACATGGGCTATGTGTAGAGAAGTACTACACATCCAATCTTGCCCGAACTAAAAAACTATCTAAGGCCATGCTGTGATATGTTAAAAGGATAGGTCCTCCATCTGATTCTCTAAGTCCAATTCAACCTAGTTGAGTTTTCGAAATTGAGTTAATGCATAATATTGTTGAACAAAATTCTATATGAAAAACACTCGCACTCTTTATTAACACAAATCGAAAACAGATTACAAGGCACTTTGTAGAATACTCTTCTTTCATATTTCTTGGGATGAAAACCTAGGTAGGGTTGATTTTATCTCGAGAGCACTGATGCATGTTACACATATATTTCCTAGAAACAATATGTTCAATACTCTTTTAAGTTATATTCGAAGAAATTTAGTACAAACGATTTGATTTCCTACTTTAGAATTTGCTTCTCAATTAAAAAAAATTAAGGTCCTGTTTGCTATAAACCCTAAAATTAACATTTTTATTAACATTTTTATTGTTAGAAAAAAACAATAACAATTTAAGATTTGTTTGGTAATAAGTTTTAAGGTCCACAATTGACATTTTTGTTACCAGTTTGTACATTGTGTTTTCCATGGTTTTTTGATAGCCAGTTATGTTTGTTTGTCCAAGAACCAAGTGCATCATGCTTGAACCAAGTATATTCATCTCTGATTTCATTTTGTTCGAGAAATTGTTAATGAAGGGACAATCGTTTATTTAAAATTGGAACTCCTAATGATCATATCAATATGTTGACAGAGGTGGTTGCCAGCATTACGTAGATTTCTGTTTCTGCTCCAACAATTGGTATCGTATCACTTTGGTTATGGAATTTGGGTACAACAATCACAACCTTTGAATTCAGGGTTTATGGCTGTGAGAGGTATTCGAGATGGAACTTTAAGGGCTAAGGCTTTCCTCCAAAATAATTGAAGATATACCATTTAAGTTCATGAAAACATCACTAAGTTCTAATGATCATATCAATAAGTTCATTTGATGCACGAAAATTTAGCAAAGCAGAAAACTTCACAGAAGAAATTAATGGCGTTTAGGTACTTTTCATACCGAGCTTCTTGTATAATTGGACACCTCGTGAGGGTGCAAGTCAATTCCACAACATGCCCTTGAATGCTAAGGTTGTTCATTTCAAAAGATCTAGAAAACAGTTTATGCTAGAGTCTTGGAACTGCTTTACATCATCTTCCATCATCTCAATCTCATACATGTTGTACCTCATTTTAAGTAGCATCTCAAAAGAAGTATGGTTTATAAACAAAGATTATAGATTTAAAGTTGAATTGATTGTTGAGGAGCAGATTCAAGCTAGTACCAAGAATAATCAGTAACTCCAACCTAGACAAGCTAAGTAATTGGTTCTACTATTGACTCGGTTTGATGAATTGTAGTATGTATGATAACGCGTGCCATTTAATAAGTTATATTATGTTATGCGACGTTATGCTATGATAAGCTATTCCATTTTGTGATCATTTAGTGTTGTCCAAGGGTTATATGGAATCGAAAATCTATGATGTATAAAGCTCAATAGACCATGCCATGAAAGCTACGTTACATACTATTGAATGTACAGGAATTATGAAAGCATAATTCACCTATTCAACAAGAACTCGTTAGCTAGAGCTAGCCTGACGAGCCAGATCCAGGGGGTGTGTGAGCCCACCTAGTGGGTCCATGTTTACAAACATGTGCTATGTGTAGAGAAGTACTACACATCCAATCTTGCCCGAACTAAAAAACTGTCTAAGGTCATGCTGTGATATGTTAAAAGGATAGGTCCCCCCATGGCACAATACACACATTGTTCATGCATCAGACCATTCATCCAATCAAGCTAGTAGTGAAGTTATTAATTGGTTGTAGTATGTCGAGTTACAAATTATCCTCAGAACTAGCTTAGATCTGCTTCTCTAAGTCCAATTCAACCTATGAGAGATTTCAACATTGAGTTAATAAATAATATTGTTGAACAAAATTCTGTATGAAAAATACTTACACTTTTTATTAACACAAATGGAGAAGAGATTACAAGACAAATTGTAGAATACTCTTGTTTTATATTTTTGGGATGAAAACCTAAGGAGGGTGGAGGGTATTTCAACCTTTTTCCTAAAATATTTTTAAAAAAAAAATCTATATATTTATTCCTAAAATTAGCTTAATCATTTTCCTAAAATAGATAGTATGTATAATCCTAAAATACCTAAATGATTTTTCTAAAACAAATATATATATATATGACCTCATACAATTATTGGACTAAAATGATATTTTAACATTGGCCCTCAACACACTCATTCGTTGCACCATGTTGAGTTGACAACGAAAGCTCTCATGTTTGTTTGTATTCAGCCCTTTTGTAAACAAGTCATCCACTTGGTCACCTGTATTGATCTGTCGCATCTTGATTTCTTTCTTCAAGACTTTCTCTCTAATGAGATAGTAGTGTACCTCCACATGCTTTGTTCTAGCATGAAACAACGGATTTTTTGCTAGACGAATCGCAGATGAATTGTCGCAATGAAGTGATATTAGATAGTCAATTTTCTGGTGCAAATCTTTCATCAAGAGTTTCAACCATGTACTTTTCTGAGCTGCTCTAGCTGCTGCTCTGTACTCTTGATAAGGCAACCCTAATCCTCAGCCCAACGATCCAAGCTTTTATTTTAGCAAGAACCCTTGAATCAAAGTAATTAACACCTCCTTATGCGAAATTTGGATCAACCAAGAGATAAGGCTAGAATTAGATTACCTCTTACGATCGAAGATATAGAAACAAGATTTGGAACTTTGTTCTAAATTGAGTCTACTTCACAATCTAACTTGATCAAGGCTTGATTGAATGGCTCGGGTGCAATTCTACCACAAGAATTGCTTGAAACTTAGAAATGGCAAATATGATGCTCGAATTTCTAAGGGAAACGTCTCAATTTGAGATCTGAATTACATTCATCAACGAATCTGTTTTTCACATAACATATTGTGGGTATTTATAGTCTCCCGACAAAAGACGTTTGTGGCCAGGATTCAATCCCGATATGTTTGTAGACTGGATTTATTCCCAATCCCCTTTAATCTCCACAAAGAATAAGTCAAATTGACCATTTGACTTTTACATAATTTAGAACTTAAACATAGTTTTTTTAATAAATGTTGATTTTCTTGAGTGGTTAAATTGATAGACTTTAGATTAATTGTTGGGATATTTTGTTTTGAATCTTCTTGGCAATTGGTATCAACTCTACTTCAGTAGTTGACAATGATACTATTGGTTGCCTTTTGCTACACCAAGAAATTGTTCCCGAACCAAACTTGAACACATACCTAGTGGTTGATCTCCGAGTATCATGGTCTCCTACATAGTCAACATCACAATATCTCACTAACTTGCAATCTTTGCTTCTTTTGTACAGAAGACCATAGTCAATTGTACCTTTGACATATATTAAGATCCGTCGAGCCAAATGAGGCTTCTTTGGACTTTGCATGTACCGACTCATGACTCCAACTACATAATAAATATCAGGCCAAGTTAAAGTTAGGTAGATAAGACTACCTACTATGCTGCAAGAATTGTCAGCAGATATCAGTCCAATCTAGGACATGCTCATTAGACTGCCGTTAAAAATATCCTCAAGTATCTTAGGAGAACAAGGACTATATGCTAATGTACGGCGCAAAGGATCTTATCCTTACAGGGTACATTGTCTCAGATTTTCAGACCGATATAGATTCGAGGAAATCGCCATCGAGATCTGTTTTCACTCTGAACGGAGGAAAAATAATATGGAAAGGCATAAATCAAGGTTGCATTGTTGATTCCACCATGGAGGCTGAGTATGTTGCTGCTTGTGAAGCAGCGAAAGAACCAGTATGGCTTAGAAAGTTCTTAACTGATTTGAAAGTCGTTCCAAATATGCATCTGCCTATCACTCTTTATTGTGATAACAGTGGAGCAGTTGCAAATTCTAAAGAACCAAGAAGCCATAAGCGAGGAAAACATATTGAGCGCAAATATCATCTCATAAGGAAGATTGTGCAACGAGGAGATGTGATCGTCACACGGATAGCTTCAGGGCACAACATTGCTAATTCATTTACAAAGCCACTCACGGCTAAAGTGTTTGAAGAGCACCTAATGAGTCTAGAACTAAGAGTTATGTAATCTAGGGCAAGTGGGAGAAAATGCATGGGTATGTGATGCTCTAGTTCATTGTATCTATATCTTTCTCTCTACTCAACATTAATAAACCTCATTAGAGTTTTAGTACAAGTGGGAGTTTGTTGGCTTTATGTTCTAAAACTCATAGTTTTTAAACAAAAACATATTCTGTTTTCAATAAAGTTATTTATTGATGTTTATTCAGTAAAGATTGTTATTGATAAAGTAAATTTTATGATCATTAATATAAATCCAATAAACTAAGAACACTCTAGCTATAGTATGATCACTTGAACTATATGTACAGACATAAGAGTGGATCAAGTTCAAGTATATAGTCAAAATGATCTATAGTACAGGGATAAGGTCGAGTACCTTATTCTAGGGACACTATCGATGCGGCCCACTTTTGTATATGATATAAACATTGTGATCACTAAATTGTACATGTGGAGACATGTGAGTGGGGGCGTCCTATGCAATGAGTATTGCATAAGATAGGACCATGAAGAAAACAACTCTCACTTTATAATGTCGTTTACTATTGAGACTGATTTTTTCATTCGATGACCTAGGTAACTCGATCTTAATCCTGAGTTAACTATGAACTCTTGTTTATTCGGAATTATCCTTAGATTTGCATGGGTGAGAGTAGCCTGAGTTCGCTGACTCAATAAGCCTCCCATTTCAGGGGTAAGACTGGTGAATAGCTGGGGACATAGGGTGTAAGATGAAATTCTCTCCTACCCGTGTTTAGGGATAGTAGAGAGGTTGTTCCCTTAAGTACTGACTCCAGGTCTTGAACAAGGGGCCCCACCCTCTCATTGGCCCGAGAGAGATTCAGTTTGGTGGTTGAACCACAAACCAATTGTTCATTAGAGGATCAGTGGGACTTAAGAAACAAGAAGTAACTTTAGGGGTAAAACGGTAAATTGACCCAGCTCTAGTTACGAACAACCTATGAAGGATCGACTTACTAACCATGGATATATCAAATGGACAGAAATATATCTATAGTGAGTGGAGTGCAACTACTAGGCTATAGTGGAGTGTTCTAGTAGTTAACGAATGTTGGTTAACAACGTTAATGAGTTTAGCCGGTTAATCTCGAATCGTTGGAGCCCATGATGTGTAGGTCCATTAGGTCCTCCTGCTAGCTCATATCGGACTAAACCTTAGAACATTGTGATGAGTGAATTTGAAGTGTTCGAATTCAAATTAGGGAATATACGCTAAATATATATGATATATTTAACCGCATTTTGTTTTAATTATGAATTAAACAAAAAAAAAAGAAAATTGGAGATATTTTAATAAGGCTTACATATTTTAATTATGAATAAGGATTCATAACCAATATGTTGGAATTGATTGGGATTGGCATTTTATTTAATGTCAAATATTAATTAAATTGTTTAATTAATCATTTAATGTTAATTTGATTTGAAATTAATTATTTAAATTAATTGTTGAATAAAAATAAAGAAAATCAAAAGGTTGACTTCACTTACTCGAAAATTTCATGTTTGAGTGAGTGGAATATTGAGGGTCAATATATGGTTTAACCAAACTTGCATGTTTGCCACACAATCCCACAAATTTGAGTGAAATTTTGAGTGTCAAATTTGGTTTAACCAAACATGCATGTTTGCCAAATAAACCCCACAAATTTGAGTGGAATTTTGAGTGTCAAAATTTGGTTAACTCAAACTTGCATGCTTGCCACATAATCCCACAAATTTGAGCGGAATTTTGAGTGTCAAAATTTGGTAATCTCAAATTTGCATGAACATGCAAATATGACACTCTAAATAGAGTGATGAAGGTACATGAAAATTCTTCTTGAAAAACTTTGAGAAAATCTCTCAAAACTCTCTCTTTATATATACTAAATTCCTATCAAGTTTAGTCACTCGCTGGATTCCACAATCCCGTTCTAAGGCCGAAAAATAGTAGGGAAGACACTAGTGGTGGTTCGAAACCGGTTCGTGAGAAAAAAGGAATTTGAACTACAAAAGGTTAGTATTCAAACTCCTAATGCTTTTGTACGTGCTAGCTAATTTACTATAATTGATGTAGTTAGAGTGCCTAAAATCTAAATTACTTCCGCACGTGTTATAGTAACACCTTCATGTGCACAAAACTTGACATTCGTCTCTATCGGTGTTAAAACTTGATTGCACTCTAACATGTTGAACTTCTGAAGCATATCTCTTGCATACTATTTTTAGGCAGAGAAGCAATTATTCATCTATGCGATCAACTTCTAAGCCCAAGAAGTGTTTAAGCTCTCCTAGCTCATTCATCTTAAAGCATACTGATAAATTTTCTCTTGTTTGATAAATTTCACTTTTGTCGTTCCCGGTGATAATCAAATCGTCCACATAGACCAACACAATTTCCAATATTCCTTCTCTTTCTTTGATGAACAGACTTGAGTCTGCATGCAAAACTGAATAACCACTTTGGGTAAGAAATCCAGCACTCTTACCATATCAAGTTCTTGGTGCTTGCTTCAGTCTGTAAAGAGCTTTTTTAAGCTTGCATACGTGATTATGATTAGCTGCACTCTCAAATCTCTTTGGTTGGTTCATATAAATCTCCCTGTCTAATGCTCCGTACAAGATGTATTATTCACATCTGTTTGCCACAGTTTCCAATCTTTACTTGTCGCGAGTGCTAGCAGAAACTCGTATGGTAGTGATCTTTACCACTGGACTGAATGTTTCATCATAGTCTAGTTCATATTGTTGAGAAAACCCTCGAGCTACGATTCGAGCCTTCTATCTCTCGATTGATTCATCTGGTCGACGCTTTATCTCCTAGTCTTGGCACTAGTTCCCAAGTTTGATTCTTCTCCAGGACTATAATGTCTTCCTCTATCGCTTTTTGCCAAATCGAGTTTTGTGATGCTTCTCCATATGTCTCTGGATCATTGATTCCGTCTTCTACAATAACTGCATTGACATACTTAAGATTTGGCTTTTGGATTCTTTTTTATTGCCTAAGTTGTTGATGTGTCGTTTCCTTTTTTATCGCCTAAGAGAGAAATATTTGCGCTGAAAACCCGATAATTTCATTTCTCATTCAATTGGGATATTTAAATAACAAATTATCTGAAACATAGAAAAATAGAAAGCAACTTAATGAATGTTCTCCCACTCGACGTGTACTTCCCACTTACTTCAATTGTGTGGGTTTAACATAAAATTAGTTACCTAACAACAATAGTTAACCAAATATTAGGGATCACATTCACTCGGTAGGGATTTATCTCACAATCTCCTCCTAAAGCCCTATCGTATATCTACCTTATTTTGTTTGAACTTTGATTCGAGCCCAATGGCTCGGTGTCCGTGGCGGCATATTCTCTAGACTCCACGTCTTGTTCGGCCACCTCTTCTTCGAGCTGAAGCACCGCCAATCTAGGTGGTTTACCTCTTCCCAATAAGTCTTCCATCCTCTGATACTTGGCCATCAGACCATCATCGTGATTAGCATCTAGCGTCGAATCCGCAGTACGTGGTGTTGCGAACTTCACTGGTTTAGGGGGTGTAGTTGAAGTTATGGTTGGGGTTGGCATAGGCGTGCCCGATGCAGCTGCTGGCGGTAGTGATGATTCCCGATGGTGTGCTCCTCCTTCTCCCGGCTCGGTGACGAGGTACTCCACCATGAATTGATTTGGATTTTGATCTGTCTCGGTCACGTCGTTCCACTGCCAGAAGGTGATCTCGTCAAAGATGACGTCGCGCGACACGTGAGCTCGCCCCTCCATAAGATCACAGAATCTGTACGCCTTGTTTTCGGGTTTGTAGTCGATGAAGACAACCTTCAGCCCTCTGGGATCGAGCTTGGTGATGTGGGGACACGCGTCCTTCATGTATGCGACGCAGCCGAACACTCGAAGATGATGTACCACTAGCTTCTTGTTGTACCAGGCGTCTTCCTATCGAGGGTTCGCATTGGCAACCGATTGAGGAGGTAGACGATTGTCATTATCGCCTCTTTCCAGAACCTCCCAAGCATCCCGGCTGTCATTAGTAATGACCTTGCTATCCCGATGATGGTTTGATTTTGGCGCTCCACCACTCTGTTCTGCTGGGGCGAGTAGGGTGCCGTTAGGTGCTGCTGTATGCCAACCTTATCGCAATACTTACCGTAGCTAACCGAGGGGAATTCTCTGCCTTGGTCCGTGCTTAACACTCGCATCTTCTTCCTGCATTAAACCTCTACTTGCGATTGAATTCGCTTAATCGCCTCTCCCACCTCACTTTTTGGTTGCAGCAGAATCAGCCACATGAAGCGGCTTTTGTCATCGACCACAGGAGGAGGAGAGTCTTGCCGCCTGGGGTCGCTGGCTTAATGGGACTGCAGATATCGTCTGCACGAGCTCCAACGGCTCACTGGCGTGGTAGGCTGCCTAAAAAAGAAAGGGGGTGCGCCTCTGCCTGCCGATGAGAAACCCGTCGCACAGCCTATTCACGTCTTTGATTGCCAACAAACCATGCACCATCTCCTCCTTGTGTAATTTTTGTATGGCTGAAAAGTTTTAAGTGCCCGTACCTAGCGTGCCACCTCCAAGGAACTTCTTCGATCCTGGCCAAGAGGCTAACTAGTTGCTCTATCTCCAACATCAAGATGTAAAGACAGTTTGTCGTGCACCGAACTTGTGTGAGCAGCCGTCGTCAATCATCACAGATCTTGAGTAGCCCGCGCTCGATGGAAATGTGGCAGCCGGCCTTATCGAGTTGACCCAGGCTCACAAGATTAGCCTTGAGCCTCAGGATGAAGTAGACGCCGGTCAGCTTGTGGTGCTCGCCTCCCTTGCCGACGAACAGGATGGTGTCGCACCTTTCGATCTCGATGACGGACAGGATGGTTGCTCTATCTCCACTCCAGAATGTAAAGGCGGTTTTTCGTGCACTGAACTTATGTGAGCATCGATCATCACGGATCTTGAGTAGCTCCCGCGCGATGGAAATGTAGCAGCCGACCTCATCGAGTTGACCCAGGCTCACAAGATTAGCTTTGAGCCTTGGGATGAAGTAGACATCGTTCAGCTTGTGGTGCTCGCCTCCCTTGCCGACGAACAGAATGGTGTCGCACCCTTCGATCTCGACGACAGAACCGTCGCCGAACTTAACCGTCCCGCAAATCCTCGAGTAAATCTCAGAGCACGCAGACTTGGCCCTGGTCATATGGTTTGTCGCCCCTGTTGTCGAGGACCCATTGTCGGTGCTCTTGCTGCTCGCCTCTTTCACCGATTTGAGCGAAACACTCGTTACTTCTTCAGTTGAATTGGCTCCCCAGCCAATGCCTTTGTTACACCCAGCTGGAACTCTTCCTCGAGTTCGAGGCTCACTGGAGTAGCTATGCCGTCATCGATTACCTTCGTGGACCCGAGATTGGGGACGACGGATAGGACTGATGCACTCACCATGAAAAGAGTCGGCTTGTGCCGCGCCCTTCGATCTTGACAACAGAGTCTTCGCCGAACTTAACCATCCCGCGAATCCCCAAGTCCAGCTTAGATAATGCAAACTTGGCTCTAGTCATATGGTTTGTCGCCCCAGTTTTCGAGGACCCATCGCCGGTGCTCTTGCTACTCGCCTCTTTCACCGATTTGAGCAGAACACTCGCTACTTCTTCAGTTGAATTGGCTCCCAACCCATGTCTTTGTTATGCCCAGCTGAAGCTCGTCCTCGAGTACGAGGCTCACTAGAGAAGTTATGTCGTCGTCGTTACCTCCAGGGACCCGAGATTGAGGACGTTGGATAGGACTGATGCACTCAGCATGAAATGGAGAGAGTGATAAATGACCATAACATATGATATGTACATACATCCAATTGGCCGGGAGTTTTCATGGACAGAGTGATAAATGGAGAGAGGGATAAATGAAGAGAGTGATAAATGGCCATAACATATGATATGATATGTACATATTACTTAAGCTATTCAACTTGACCTTTGATAAATTTGGCTCCTCTACAATGATATATTATCGGTGAATTAAATCAGGCTCTGATTGACTTCTGGCAATTGAGAGGAAAACGTCGACGGAGTAAAAAACGACTGAAGTAAAACTTGAAGAAAATAACAAAAAAACAAGGAGATAGAAATATTTGCTGAAGATAATTTCATTTCTCATACAATTGTGGTACAAATAATCCTAAAATAGAAAAGTAAAGGGCAACTTAACAAAGCTCAACCTGTACTTCTCACTCACTTCAATTGTGCAGGTTTAGCATAAAAATAGTTAGCTAAAAAAATAGTTAACTAAAAATTAGGGATCACATCCACTCGGGGATTTATCTAACAGCATGTTGGCACATGTAAACTGATGTCGTATCCCACACTCATGTAAATATTGATCAAACTCATCTGACATGTATTCTCTGCCATTGTCTGAACGTAAGCAACAAATCTTCACTCCTACTTCTCCTTCGATCATCATCTTGAATTCTTGAAATTTTGAAAATGTGTCAAACTTTTCTATCTTAAAGAAAATCCGCATATATCTTGAGTAGTCGTCAATGAATGTCACCATATACCACATTCCACTAATCGATGCTTGTTTGACTAGTCCGAACAAATCAAAGTGAATTAACTCTAATGGTTTCTTTGCTTTGAATTTTGGCTCTTTGTATGGTAATTGATGAGTTTTACCATATTCACATCCAACGCAAACAACGTCTGTTTTGACTTCAAGTTGAGGTAGACCTTTGAGCATGAATTTCTCCATAATCCGCTTCAACTTGTGGTAGCCAACATGTCCCAATCTTGCATGCCATAGATCTGTTGTCTCATTCTTCCGGGTGTTGTCAACATAGGAAGAATCTGCAGATAGGACGTAAACGGACTCCACTCTTCACCCTTATATTGTGAGCTCTCCTATTATCTAATCATCTTTATAGACTTTCACATCTTCTAGCCCAAACAAGACGTAATTTCCTGATGTTATTAGTTGTGACATTGACAACAAGTTCTTCTTTATATTTGATACATGATAAACATTATGTAACACTGTATTAGATTTATTGTCAGGCATGATTGTCGTATTACTGATCTGAGCAATTGACAACTGTGTGTTATTTGTTGTGCTTTCCTTACGACTTCCTTTATACTCTTTCTAGTCTTGCAATTTTCTCTAATCGTCAGTCATATAGTTTGAGCATCCTGCAACAACAATCCCGTCATTCTCATAATCAATATGATCTCCCATTGTCGCCAATGATCATAAACAAATTGGTTTCACGAATTCTTTGGAGATGTAATTTCATTCTCCATAGAAAGTGGGAGAGATTGCGTCTTTGGCTCAAACCGAGGGTTCTATTTATAGGAACTCTTCGAGAATATTTTCCAAATAATATATTTTCATATTTAATATAATAGGATATAATACCTTATACAAATCATATTTAGATCTTACAAGATATTCTAATATATATTTAATTAATTTGAATCTCATTCAAATTTCAAATATATTTTTATTTAATATATCAAAATACATTAATTGATTTAATATTTAATTGTATCAAATACAATAAATATGTTTTTCCTTTAATATATCTCATATATTAAAAATTAATTTGACCCTTCAAATTAATATATTTTTCTCCCTTTATATTTAACATATCTAAAATATTAAATATTAATTTGAACCCTTCCAATTAAATATATTTTTTCTATTTATTTAATATATCTAATATATTAATATTAATTTGATATTTCAAATTACATTTATTTTTTCATTTATATTTAATATATCTGTTATATTAAAAATCAATTTGAACCCTTCAAATTTTTTTTCAAATAAATTGAACATTTGAGTGTTACTATAAACTAGCAAGAGAACCTTATGGACCTACAGAGTATAAGCTCCAATGATACAAAATTAATTAATTAAATTCTTTAATTAATCAATTTCCATTCATTAAGGTCACTCCACTATAGACCTAAAGTTGCACTCTTATGTTGTAGGACATATAGTACCTCTACAATAAATTCCTTTTTTATCTCCATGTGTGAGGATGTCACATTGCTTTCGATAGATTTTTTTCTTGGACCAACAATCTCTAAACATGTGGCCCTTCTTCCCGCAATTGTAGAAAATACCTTCAAATCTCTTTCGAACTATTGTTGTCATTCTTCTGAGCTCTCTCAGGGTGTGCAGTTCCTTGATGACTTCTTCTTTTGCCACCGTTTTTGTATCCACGTTTAGTAGATGGCTTGTATTGTTTCGACTTTCACTTGTGTAGAGTGCTTCTCTTTCACCCTTCAATGTGATGTCTCCCATTTGTTTAGCCATGGGCAGGCTAACAAATGTTCAAACTTTACTAGTGATGGTTGAGTGGGTCATCCTTGAACAGCAATAATGAAGCATCTATATTCTAACCACAATCCATGGATAATGATCCTCTTCGTTCGATCTTCTCCAATTGCAGACTTCGGGTCTAGTTCAGTAATCTTTCGGCAGATCGAGTTGACTTTATGGAAATACTGAGCAATCTTCATGTCACGTTGTGAAATTGATAATAGCTCGTTCTCCAGCAGTTGTAGCCTCATATCGTTCTTCTTTGCGAACAACATCACGAACGTGTTTCATGCTTCTTTCGGTGTCTTGTCATCTCAAATATGCTCTAACATCTCTTCTTTGATTGTGGTCTTCAAGGAAAACATTGTTTTGTCTGCTTTAATTCTCCATTTGCACAAGGCGCCATTAGGATCCTTCTCAGGCGGCGTAGTTTCACTCCCGCCAATGATCTCCCATAGCTCACGTCCTTGTAAATAGGACATCATGCATGTTGCCTACGTGTCTTAGTTGTTGCTGTTGAGTTTCTTGATTCCTCCAACGATTTGGAAATCGCTCATCGTGTTGGCAATACCTCAATAGTACCAAACAAACTCTTTCGACACAAAACTTGCAGAGTCACAGACTGCTCACGACACAAAATAAACTCACTTATAATCTCAAGAAATCGTTTCTGATGTGGAAGTTAAGACAGAGCTGCAACCATAGAGCATACTAAGAATTTCAAGAAATTAGACAACCTACACTAACCTCGCTCTGATACCAGATTATTGAACACAATTATTTGTGAGAACACTCGCACTCTTTATCAACACAAATCGAGAAGAGATTACAAGACACCTTGTAGAATACTATTGCTTTTTATTTATTGGGATGAAAACTTAGGTAGGATGGAGGGGTATTTACAATAGACGTCAGACAATTTATTCAAAAAATCTCTCAACCTTTAGTTTGTCATGTGTATATGAGGTAGATTATGCTATGAGGAACTCATGCATATTAGTGTGTCGTGCATCGGGATACTTACATTACGACTTATGATTTTCGATATTTATGTGTGTCATGATGTTATGCAGACCCTTTCTCTCTGTCGTGTTCAACATGAGCTCATTAGCGATTACTAGCCCGTCGAGCTAGATCCAGGAGGTGTGCGAGCCCACCTGGTGGGTCCATGCTCACATACATGGGTCATGTGAAGAGAAGTACTACACATCCAAACTTGCCCAGACTAAAAAAACTGTCTAAGCCCATGTTGTGATATGTTAAAAGGATAGATCCCCCCATGGCACGACACGTGCAGGGCCACAACACACACGTTGTCCATGCATCAAACCATTCATCCAATCAAGCTAGTAGTGAAACCACTTGGTTGGTTGTCTAATGTCGAGTTACAAATTATCCTCGGAACTAGGTTAGATCTACTTCTCTAAGTCCAATTCAACCTAGGTGAGTTTTCGAGATTGAGTTAATACATAATATATTATCCAACTCTTCTAACCATATTAACTAAATCCATTTTTGGCTAAAAAATAACTTAAAGTTGATCAAATAGTAGACATACTCACCTCAGAATACTTTTAAGAAAGAGTTCAACCCAAAGATTCTTCTCTAGATTTTTTTTTTTTTTCATTTTTAGCTAATTTTGACCAACTTTTATAATTCTAGGCCTATTCTCAAGCTAATCTCTTTGCAAAAAAATCATATAGATAATTTTGATATTTATTTTTCTAACCCGATTTGATAGAATGAGAACAAAATCGATGGAATTGTGAGGAATAGAGAATTTGAACTTTTTTTCTTATTGATATAGGGGATGGTCTCTTCCGGCCGTGATTCTTTCTTTCCCATGTGGACCTCCGTAATGCTGAAAGGATGAATGTAAAGATCTGTAGATTGTCTGATTAGTTGATTTTATGTGGAGACCGATGTTGCATTTTACACATATATTTCCTAGAAACTATATGTTCAATACTCTTTTAATTTATATTCGAAGAAATTTAGTACAAACGATTTGATTTCCTGCTTTAGCAACGATTTCTAAACAAAAAAAAGTTATGTTCTTCATTTTTTAATAAAGTGGTAATGCATATTTTCATCTATTTACGTTGTAAATTTAACTAAATTATTCTTTAGATTCTTTACTGTCAAGAATGTAATGAAAGTAGATATATGAAATAGGAAGTTCAAACATGGCCAATTTTTTTTTTTTTTTTTTCTTTTTGAATATGTATTATACATAGTTACATTCAATAAAGGCCACTTATAAACCTCAACACTTAGAATTACAAGAAGTAACGAAAGTAGAGAAATTGGGGCGAAAATTTGGGTTGATAAGTTAGTCATATTGGTATAAGTGTTTTTGGATGCATCTCAAAATAATACTTCGATTATATCCCTAGTGTAATGGAAGGAGTATGTGGTGCAGGAGGAGGATAGTCTGACGTCCTTTGACTCAGCCCAAACGGAGGAATGGGTACATCTTTTAAAATGAGAGATGAAGCATGCGGTGGAGGAGGTGGGTAGTTATTATGCCTTTTACTCGGCCCAGACGGAGAAATGGGTACGCCTTTCGGTAACATTCTAAGGACGAGGGGTGGAGAAGGGGTCAAGTGAAATAATGTTCGTTGGCTTGATCTAGATGAAGAAATGGATATTCCTTTTGGATGCTTTACAATTTGGTCTGTCAATTCCTCTTCTCGAATGGTGTCGTCTACATCGACTTCAACCACTTTTTTAGCATCGGTTTCGTAGACTATAAAGTGCAATCCAAAGAAAATGAGGGTACAAACTCTCAAAAACACATTAGATTTATTTGACATCATATTTTCTATATGTTCTCTAAACTTCCATTTCTTCCTTTTTATATAGAATTTGCTTCTCGATTAAAATTAAGGTCCGGTTTGCTATGAACCCTAAAATTAACATTTTATTGTTAGAAAAAAACAATAAAGCACTTGAAATTTTTTTGGTAATAAGTTTTAAGGTCCACAATTGACAGTTTTGTTACCCGTTTCTAAATTGTGTTTTCCATGTTTTTTTCTATAGTCAGAGTTATATTTGTTTGTCGAATAACCAAGTTCATCATGCTTGAACCAAGTATATTCATGTCTGATTTTATTTTGTTCGAGAAATTGTTAATGAAGGGACAATCGTTTATTTAAAATTGGAACTCCTAATGATCATATCAATATGTTGACAAAGGGGGTTGCCAGCATTACATAGATTTATGTTTCTGCAACAACAATTGGTATCGTACCATTTTGGTTATGGCATTTGGGCACAACAAACACAACCTTTGAATTCAGGGTTTATGGTTGCGAGAGGTATTCAAGACGGAACTTTATGGGCTAAGGCTTTCCTCCAAAATTATTGAAGATATTTTTTAAAATTCATGAAAACATCACGAATGCTTGGAGATCAATTTTCTCTTGCATGGGTTGTGCATTCAAATCGTTCATTTGATGCATGAAAATTTAGCAAAGCAGAAAACTTCATTGAAGAAATTAATGGCGCTTAGGTATACCGTGCACCTTGTACAATTGGACACCTCGTGAGGGTGCAGGTCAATTCCACAGCATGCCCTTGAATGCTAAGGCTGTTCATTTCAAAGGATCCAAAAAACGGTTTATGCTAGAGTCTTGAAACTTCTTTAGATCCTCTTCGAGCATCTCAATCTCGGACATGTTGTGCCTCATTTTAAGTAGCATTGATCGTTAAGTAGCATTGATGGTTATAAACCCTAACCAAAGATGATAGATCTAAAGTTGAATTGATCGTTGAGTAGCAGATTCAAGCTAGTACCAAGAATAATTAGTAACTCCAACCTAGACCAACTACGTAATTGGTTCTACTATTGGCTCGATTTGATGAATTGTAATATGTATGATGACGTGTGTCATTTAATAAGCTATGTCATGTTATGCGACATTATGCTATGATAAGCTCTTCTATTTTGTGATCGTGTAATGTTGTATAAAGTTGATATGGAATCGACAATCTATGATGGATAAACCTCCATAGACCATGCCATGAAAGCTATGTTACATATTATTGAATGTACCGGAATTATGATAACATAATCCACAGATTTATTATGTTATAAATAAAGGGAGGTTTGTCTTATATCATACATTATGCTACGAGGAACTCATACATATTAGTGTGTCATGTGCGGATACTTACATTACTACTTAGATTTTTGATAGTTATGTGTGTCATGCTGTTATGCAGACCCTAAGAGCTCGTTAGTGAGTGCTAGCCTGACGAGCCAGATCCAGGGGGTGTGCGAGCCCACCTGGTGGGTCCATGCTCACATACATGGGTCATGTGTAGAGAAGTACTACACATTCAATCTTGCCCGGACTAAAAAACTGTCTAAGGTCATGTTGTGATATGTTAAAAGAATGGGTCCCCCATTGCACGACACGTGCAGGGCTACAACATACACATTGTTCATGTATCAAACAATTCATCCAATCAAGCTACTAGTGAAGCTACTTAGTTGGTTGTCCTATGTTGAGTTACAAATTATCCTCGGAACTAGCTTAGATCTTCTTCTCTAAATTGAGTCAGGGACGGGGAATATAATCCCGTCCCCCAATCCCATTTATTTAACAGGAAAAAATGTCCCTCATTTCCCGTCTAAATGGGGAATCCTTTCCCACTTCGAGACAGGTCCCTATAGATAAAATAATCATCTCTAGAAGGTACACTATGACCACCTCTAATAGATTGGGAAGGAGACATGATAAAATTGAATATTAGGATTGTAACCGCCCGTTCTTCGATATTTCGAATCACGGACGGTCACGTATAGACCAAGATTATGGACTCCTTTTACAAAACAAGCTTTAAAATACAAAGGAAACGACCATACACGATGTAGCAATCATCCTATAGTCGTGTAGCTCTAATACGTTCCAGCTATCATCTTGTTGTTTGGTCCTTACAATTTTTTTATAAAAAAAATAAATAAATCTTCATTTTTTCCAAATTACTTTTGGCATTTAAACAACTCAAAATCTATGCACTTGCAAACAATTCAAGGGCTCCAAGATCTCCTTCCCCTTGGTGATCCGACCCTATTTCGCTTTAGCCGCTGTATTTTCTGTCAATTCTTTCCAATTTCTAGAGGTTTTTCTTCTCCCTTTTCCCAGGTGCGAATTATAGCTATCTATTCCATGAACTCGATTTCCTTGCTTCTAGATTTTTTCATTCTCTGAACTGGGTTTCTTGATTTGAACTCGCTGGACTTCTTTTCTCTTGATTTCCCGAGAAATTTCGTGTTCTGTTTCACTCTCGGTGATTGAAAATCTATTGCACATAAGTTGTTTGATAAAATTCCCTTGAATCGATGCTCAGATTTTGTTTGGGAGGTTTTGGTTATTGAATGAGCTTGTTGCGCCTCAATTTGCAGGACTTTCTGTGATTTTCATAGTTTCTGTGATTTCCTTGCTTCTACTTTTTTCATTCTCTGAACTGGGTTTCTTGATTTGAACTCGCTGGACTTCTTTGCTCTTTGATTTCCCGAGAAATTTCGTGTTCTGTTTCACTCTCTGTGATTGAAAATCTTTTGCACATAAGATGTTTGATAAAATTCCCTTGAACCGATGCTCAGATTTTGTTTAGGAGGTTTGGGTTATTGAATGAGCTTATCGCGCCTCAATTTGCAGGAATTTCTGTGTTTTTCATATTTCCAAAGCTTCGTTTCATCTTCCAAGTAAACAGTTTTTATGTGTTTTTCCAGTGGAGGTGGAAGCGAACTAGTTGTGCAGAAAAAATGCTGCCGCAACGGATGAAGACGGCCATTACAGATAACCCGAAGAAGCTTGCTAACTTGATTGATCTCGTAAACCTTCCTTCAACTCTCAGGGAGTTTGTGGGACAGTCCCAAATTTCTCGTCTGGGCTGTTTCAAGTATGTGTGGTCATATATCAAAACCAATAATCTTCAGGTTCTATTCTTTGTCTAATTTTTATGGCCTTTTTTTTAATTAGTTTTAGATGCATATTGATTATACTGCTATCAACCTATAACAGAGACTTCCCTTGTTAAATCTACTTTCAAAATAGTTTTCATAGATTCTATATTGTATTCTGGTTGAAGTATGGCTTAAAATGGGCAAGAGGCTAAGGAACGAAAGGAAAATAGTAATCAAAGAGGAGAAGAAAGGTCATGAGTCTGAATAATCAGGATGATAAAGAATATCTTAAAATGAAAGTTATGAGAACCTGATAGAGGGTCAAGGTCCTTGGAACGTCCCTATATTTGAATAATCAAATACGTGACGGTCCTTGAAACGTTGCATCACGTATACCTTGAAACTAGATTATGAGAACCTGATGTACATGACATAATCTAGGTTCTGAAGTATACGTGACAGTCCTTGGTCCTTGGAACGTCCCTAGGTTTGAATAATCAAATACGTGATAGTCCTTGGAATGTCACGTCATGTATACTTTGAAACTAGATTATGAGAACCTGATGTACATGACATAATCTAGGTTATTAAGTATACGCAACAGTCCTTGGTCCCTGGAACGTCTCGTATACTTTGAAACTGTATAGAAGAGCTACAAGATAACTCAAGTATTCGAGGTACTTCGAATGTTCCTAGATTTGAATATACACACTCGAGCCTAAACCATCTGAACAGTTCACCCAAATAATATTAACTACTCCCGTGGGATTCTTATCAAAGAAGAGATCCCAAATGAATTGGCTTCTTCGAAAAAAACCTTGTTCGTTTGAAGATCTATCTCGTGCTTGGTACTGTACGGTTCCACTCTAGAAGAACTTCGAATCATTCTCTTGAAACTCATCCTCTTAAAAGCCCCAACGGCGCCATATTATAGGAGCTCATACTATGTGATTGAATAAATCCTTCTTTATCGGTTGCAGGTTGAGGAGTCCTTCTCCTTCCTCTTCTTCAAACTCCGATTGATATTGTTCAACCACGGGGTCAAAGAAGGAATGTGATCTTGATTTATTACCCCAGGGAAGACCTAACTAGCTCATAGGCAACATAGAGGATCTCATAACCCACCACATGAACCCATCTTTCAAGCTTTACTGATTCAATGCTAATACCAACTAACCAAAATTTCGTCTTATTTTACCTATCAAGTTCTATTAAGGCCTACAAAGGACTCCTCCTTATGCATAAGGAAATAGTATTATAAACTGTAAATGAGTAAGATGGATGATTTTTGTCTCTCCCAACAAACAACCCTTCTGCTAAACCTTTATCCATGCCTCTCAAAATAAGTCTGTTAAGCACATCCACGACCACCCCAAAAGAGAATGATGATTGATTTTACTTGTAAACTCAATAACTTTTGGTCGATCATGAATTTATAAGTAAGGAATACATCTCCATTGGTACGAGGCCTTTTGGGAGAAACCAAAAGCAAAGCCACGAGAGCTTATGCTCCAAGTGGACTATATATCATACCATTGTGGAGAGTCGTGGTTCATAACATTTGCATTACACGTTATTATTGTTCCATGGTCATGTATTATGATTTTGGGAAGCTAGAAGTACTTGAAACTTCAATGAAGTAGCACTTCTTTTTCTAAATGTTAAAAATATGTTTCTGTTGTCCCATAAGTGGCTTTCTTTATTCTGCTAAAAGGTTATGGGTATGTACCTTTCTTGTCCAGGATCCAACCAACAAGAATGTGGTCATTTGTGATGAGAAGTTAAGGAGTATATTGCTAGGCAAGTCCAAGGTTGAGCTAGCCGAACTTCCCGCGCTGATTAAATTACATTTTCCCAAGAACCCCAAGTGAGTTATGCTTGCAGTTTAACCTCTGCCACATCCAGAATGACCTCTTCAATGTTTAGCCTCAATTTTGTATGAATCTCCTTCTAGGTTTCTTTTATATATATTATCAGAAATTTATTTGACTCTTCTTGTACCTCATGCCATATGCTTTGTTATACATTGCATATACATTTTATTTTATCCACGGCTAGCAAATATTATCCTCTTTAAATTTTTTCTTTCGGGCTTCCTTTCAAGGTTTTAAACCGCATCTACTAGAAAGAGGTTTCTACACCCTTATAAGACCCTTATAAGAAATGTTTTAAATTTTTTCTTTCGGGCTTTCTTTCAAGGTTTTAAACCGCATCTACTAGAAAGAGGTTTCTACACCCTTATAAGACCCTTATAAGAAATGTTTTAAATTTTTTCTTTCGGGCTTCCTTTCAAGGTTTTAAACTGCATATACTAGAAAGAGGTTTCTACACCCTTATAAGACCCTTATAAGAAATGTTTTAAATTTTTTCTTTCGGGCTTCCTTTCAAGGTTTTAAACCCATCTACTAGAAAGAGGTTTCTACACCCTTATAAGACCCTTATAAGAAATGTTTCGTTCCTCTCCCTCATCGATGTGGGATCTCACATAAGTTCTCGTTCTTTGTTCTCAAGTAACCTAGAAGTTTTAGGAACTTTTATACAAAAATAGATGAAAAACAGAAGAGAGTCTATAAAGTGAATGATGTGAAAAATAATGAAATAACTTGGATCGGACTTGGGTTGTTTCCCGTTGAAATCAGTTTTTTTTTTTTTTTTTTCTCTTACATACAAACATCGCCTACAAATTCAAATGGACAGAACTTGTTCAATATTAAACCAAATTAAGCGTATAATATCTTCAAGGTCATATATATTTTATTTGTTCAATACTTCTACAGGAAGAAGAAAAAAAAAAACAAGAGTTTGGGTTTATTTATCTTCACCATAACAAAATCCTGATAATGTACATGACATGTTCATGGTATCACAATCTCAAACAGAGAAATGGGAACTCAAAGATCCACATGCAAAGTCGAAGCATCTCGATCGGAATTAAGGTTGAGATGTAACAAATCGGGGCCGACCTTTCCAAAAAATCTGGATAGAACGAGTCGTGCAATGTTCTCAGCTGCAACAGCACTGGTCTCCATGGTACTGGCTGCATTCTCAAAAGCATTCACATAGTACAAATGCCGACCATCCAAAATAAAAGGTGCGAATACTTCAGGAGCTTTAAAGTGGGGATATGCAGCCCAATCTATCCGAATGGTCTCCTTTCTTACACTAACAACCAACAACATGTAACGTGAGAAGGCAAACCACACATGATAGGAAGAAGAATGGTATGAAAATTCTTAGTCTAAACTACATCTTTAGTTCGGAACTTTGGTTTTAAGCTTTAAAAGTGTCTAATAGGTCTAAAAACTATTAATTTGGATAGTTCTAAAATTTAACTTATAGATGCAAACTTAAAATTTTAAAACCTTATAATTTAACTAAATTTCTAATAAGAATAGACTTAAAATCTAGCTGGCTTTAAAGAAGACCCTCCTTTAGTGTACAGCTTACGGGAAAGGGTTAAAAGTTCCTCAAGGGCGGCTCTCTTCCACTAATAAGCTAACTCCATGTTCATTTCCGATTCCCAAAATGAAGCGTTTCTTCTTTCTACCATTAGCATAAGAATGAAAGATGGAACCTTGGTTGACATCTTTTAAAACATTGTATCGGAAATATAGATGGCCCTCAAGCACTATAATATAAACTTCAAATCTCACAAATTTGAAGAGAAGCCTATTTTGTTACAAAATCTAAGAATATAGAGGGAGGAATATTATTGTTCGGTTGAATATCTCAACTTTCATTTACCTATATGAGCATTACTCAGTCATTAAGACACTTATATTTCCAAGGTTAAGAGCTCAAATCTCCATATTCATGTTTGTTGAACTAAAAGAAAGGACGATGACTTTAATATTATATACTCAACTCTAAAAGATAGTCAAGAAGCTAAAATAATATACGCGTGTATGTATGTGTTTGTATGCTTGTGTATGTATATATATACACAAAAGTACATGCATACATACCATTCATGTATCTAATTAAAAAAAATATTTAAAATGACATGCACACATATAATTCATGCTTCTAATCAACTAAATTGCATGTAATTTGAACTACATGGTCCATTGTGAGATCCCACATCGGTTGGAGAGGGGAACGAAACATTCTCTAAGGTATGGAAACCTCTCCCTAGCAGACGCGTTTTAAAAACCTTGAAGAAAAACTCGAAAAAGAAAGCCCAAAAAGGACAATATCTGCTAGCGGTGACCTTGGACTGTTACAAATGATATGAGAGCCAGACACCAGGCGATATGCCAGCAAGGAGGTTGAGCCCCGAAGGGGATGGACACGAGGCGGTGTGCCAGCAAGGACGCTAGGCCCCGAAGGGAGTGGATTGGGGGGTCCCACATTGATTGGAGAAGGTAAGAAGTTCCAACGAGGACGCTGGGTCCCGAAGGTGGGTGGTTTGTAAGATCTCACATCAATTGGAAAGAGAAACAAAACATTCTTTATAGGGGTGTAGAAACCTCTCTCTAGTAAACGCGTTTTAAAAACCTTGAAGAGAAGCCTAAAAGAGAAAGCACAAAGAGGACAATATCTACTCGCGGTGGTCTTGGACTGTTACATCCATGTTTTAGAAATCTGAGCGTCTAGCTTATTATTTGGAAAGAATCAACCTATACTAACCATATTTTCCCAAAACCACCACTCCAAAACTTGCATAAAGTTTCTCGAAGATGATACGATAGCACATGTAAAGGCTTGAATCAAAAACCATACAAAACTAACTGTCATTTAAATTTACCTGAAGATCTTATCCAGTAGGGTATCTTCCATTGGTTTACGAGAGAATATCTTGTAAGTCATATCGTTATCATCATGTTGCTTAAGAACAGAAATACTCGAAAATTGAACATCCTCAGTTTCTGTTGTACCCACCAACTTTGGAATTTTCGATGAAGCTTTCAAGCCGAAGTACTCCTTTGCGCATAAAAGAGAATAAAGAAAAAACAAGACGTCAGAGAACTTGAAAAGAATGACTATAAACAATTGGAAACTATAGAACCATTCAAAGCCTCGAGTACACTCACAGGATTTAAGAGGCCCCTGACAAATGTTGTATGAGTATGCTGCAGTTCTCTCTTAGGAATTATAATCGGAGGTGTAAACTGAATGTTCAGCTCATCTAGAGGAGTAGCTACTACAGTAATTTCACAGGAATAACTGTTTCCCTTGTTAGATTTAACCTCATAATATTCACCTAGGTAAGAGATGGACCCGATTTCCTCTTGCAAATGTAATGTGCTATCTGAATGATTTATTAGTCTAGCAGCTATCTGCCAGTTACCACCTTCAACTGCCCACAACCCTCCGCCTGATCCTGCCAACGAAACTGCCCCAGCAAGTCCACTAATAGAGACACTTTGACCATAGTTAATTCTTGTGATAACCTGCACAGATCAACCAATAACATTTTTTCTAAAATCGCATAAATTGTTCCATCTAATGAAAAAAAAGGTGTACATCTCTAAAATGGAGGGGGCAAGGGCAAAAACAATCTCGAGTAACAGGCCTACATCATTTAAAAGTTAAACCACGGTTCGAGTTTTATACCATTAGGTACTTGATTAAGAAATATAGTAAGCTGAGATCCAAGAAAATATTATAATTAAAATTAAAAATTGGCAAAAAAATAATACAATACTTGAGAATGGGCTAGGAATCAGAAATTATTAACTTCATAACCACTTGCTCTGTAAGAACAAAATATATGTATATATATTTCCACATTCTGCACCTCTAAATTTAATGATATTTGAGCTTGAATTGGTAAACAAGAAATCAACATAATTTTTACGTTTTAAGCAGTCTCAAGATGGTAAACTTTAAGAAACAAATACAGAGATGGAATAATTTTTTCCAGCGAGCCATGTTCATCAATGCTTCTAACTTGATTTGTGTGACATGTGAATAACTAGTTACATGGAACAAAATAAATGATAGAAGTATTTGTACTCTACATCAAAGGTTGAATGAACAATGAAAGTATTTGGTATCAACAATGCCAAGTTTTGAAATTGACAAAAACCTATGAATAAATATATTCTTAGATATACTCGATATTCTATCAAAAGTGATGTGATCATACTACTACTGACACCATAATAGCTTGGTGCTTTTTCTAACCTTGAGTAACTTTGAGATGGCTTTTGGGAAAATGCTTATAAGTAGGCACTTATTCTCTAAGCACTAGTAAGAGAACATGAATAGAATGTTTGGGGTGATTTTGAAATGGTTAAAATCACTTTTTTACGTTCAAAATCATTCTGAAACCTACTTTTAATCATGTTAACTCAGTTTAATGCTTGGTTTTACATTTTTAAATGTCATTTTCATGCTATCAAAACTAAATTTGAATGATTAAAGACATGTTTTGAAATTATTTTAAACATTTCAAAACTGATTATAATTTTAAAATCACTACTAAACATGCCCCAATTAAGTGACTCCAAATAAAAGAACTTCAAAAGTGCATGTACGTTTAGAATCTCAAAGTCACTTTTGATCACCAAATCAAACACCATGAAAATTTGAATGGGCTTGCCTCCTCATTCCCTTTTACCTATGCCGTGATAGTTTCCCAATCGGAGATCCATGGATCACCAACGGTATCTCCATTCTGAAAGGTTCCATCCAAACACCAGCAAGAGGTTCCCCACTCTTCTTTGACCGTTTTAGGGCCGCCCATTATATTGGTCTCACAATTCCATTACCTGAACTAGGAACTTCTTTGTTTTCGCTTTCATTCCTCAATGGACTCCTAATGTATATGAAGGAGTGTGGTTCGTTCGCGAGAAAGGGAGACCACCTTCTAAGCCTAAGTATTCCTCTTTCTTTTGAAAAGCACTTTGTATCTTTCCAAATGTGCATTGACCCTTAAAAAAATCTCACTAACTAACAAAAATTGTAAGCAAATCTGAGCTATGTTATACTATACTAGAACTATATCACCATGGTGACAAATACTAAATCTCTAATCAAAACCAATTCTCTATTCAAGCA